ACTAATTTGTTGATTGCATTAAATCTAGCAGTTATTTTGATTATAATTTGGGTTGTGTTGGTGTCAATTTTTCATGCAATAATATCTTACATATATGTTTCATCGAGTAGACTTATTTTACTTTCACTTTTACTATTTTGAATTTTTTGACACTATACTGACACTTGAACTTAACGTTATGTCACGTTCTTGAATTATGTTAATATTAAGGAAAATATATTTCCATCTATTTTTTATTTGATGATAAAAGTTTTTATACATATTTTTTACCTTAAAAAAATGACTAGGTGTAATATAAGAATATAAAAAAATGTTTGATGTACATACAGAGATTTGAACTGTACTTTGCTTATTTATACGATCAAATGCATTCATATGATAAAAATATATTATGGATGTTAACTTTCTTATATAAAAGGAATATATTCCATAAATTTTGTGTGTGTGCTTAGATGTCTTTCAGGTTTAGTGTAAGGGTGTCCGAGTATTCCAATCACAATTTTAGCATAAGTTGTATCAAATATATAATAGCCATTTTTTTTAATGTTCGTTATTGTATCAGGCACACACATGCACAAGGTTTTCTTATCCCTTTGCATCATTATTCTATTCTTATTTTATTCATTATTCTTTTGGGTAAATGATGAAGTGCTAATGAATTCAAAATGTTTCTGCACAAATTTAAGGAAGGCAACTTATTTTAATGGGTTTGATAATAAAATTTGAACCTAGTTCTAGGTTTTTTTTTTTTTTTTTAAAGAAAAATCTTTGATAATTCCTATCCATGGTGAAATAGAATGATTGCTTTATTGTATGCATGACCTGCTTCATATGCGAAAATTTTTTTTGTCAGCGTTATTGACAAAACAATGATGAATTAAGATAATATTTAATTTAAGGATATGGAATTCTGCGTGCCTATTTAAAATGTCTATTTAAAATGCCTATTTAAAATGTCTATTTCTTCATATTTTATGCAGTTAGCCTTCTATTTATTTTGAAATGACAGGAAAAAGTAAATTTTCTCAAACATTAATTTTAAGACAATAAAAAATGTCATTTCTTAAAAAAAATCAAATAAATATTTTCTTAAACACTCTCTTATATTTTTCTTAATTAATTTATTTTAATTTATAGAACAATTAATGTATACATTATTCAGTCATTTGTATCTTATAAAATTGTTAATGTATTAGTTTAACTACATTATATAATACTTTGTGCAATGTGAATTATCTTTCATTTTATTTAAAAAGTATATATTTTATTTAATATACTTATTTTTAAATTAAAATATTTCTTAAAAAAAATTATAATAATAATAATGTATAAATTACTCTATCATTTGCGTGTTAAAAAATAAGATTTACAAACTTTTTTTAGTTTTATGATAAAGTAAATAATCAACGTTTAATTTAAATATGAAATCTTCAATTATAATTTCTTTCATGTTTTTATGAAACAAAATAAATAAATAGATTTCTATTATTTTAATTTACACAATGATTTATAATAGCACTGTACACTAACTTCTATCATTCTTACGTTACAAAATAAATTGTAAGAGTACTGATATAGCTACATTGTCTTGTACCTTGTGTATGTGAATTATCATAAATTTTATTTTTATTTTAAAATATCAAATATTTTATTATTGTTTCCTATAATAAAAAATATAGTAATTTTCTTTCAAATTCAAATAAAAATTAATGATAATAATGTATTAATTACTTTATCATTCACAAATTATACAATCATAAATTGTTCATCTTGTTTTTAGAAATAAAGAATATATCTTTCTCTAAATCATTTTAACACCCTAAAAGGGTACACTTTAGTTTTTTAAATAATTTTCAAAAAAGTTTTTTTATTCATAAGTACGTAACTTTAATTTTTCCATTGGATTGGAGAACATGTGGGGGCCAAGATCAAGACCTCTTGGGTCCAATTATCTTAAAACTTATTGTTTCCTCTTATTCTGAAAACCTATTTTTCCTAAATAAAATATCAAATTTAAGAAAGAAATAAAACTTTAAGTTTTGTACAAGGATAACCATTTTTATGGATATTGAGGGATGCTAATACCTTCCCCTCATATAATTAAACTTTAGAAATTGAATCAGGTTAGCAAACTGTTTTTCTAAGTTTTTCAGGATTCTTTAAAAATTCTAGTGATGAATCCTTCAATCTCTGTATTCTACTTTCCCATTTTTGATTTGTCATTTTTTATTATTTTTTTGTGCATCTTGTTATATGTAGTAAAAATTATGAGCTAACATTTTAATATTTAGTGAAATTATATCCTTAACTATTTTTGTTAGTTTCATGACCTTTGTTAAATTTCTGTTTTTAATCTCTAATAACTATATTTATTTCATGTGTACATTACCTCCACCGAGTAATAATTAAGATAGTTCACTCACAAAATTTAGCCACTTCAATTTAAAAATTCTATGTTCTTAACCTTAATCAACAGTTCAAATTTGATGACTATAATCTAATTATGATTCTATTTAAAACCTATCTAGACACCATTAAGAAACAAAATTATTATTTAAATAAGGATCAATAAAAATAAAGATATTACAAAAATAATGAAATTTAATATAGTAAATTAGACAAGAACTTTTACTAGTGATATCATCTATACTTAGTTAGTTTATAAACCTTTGGTAGCATTAATTGTTGTCACTTATGTACTAAGAGTTTGATGTCATTCCTAGAACTGTGCAATGGAATATCTTGAAATTCACGTTAGTCCTATTTCAGATGGTTAATGTAACATATTTTAGGTTTACATTTATAGTTTCATTTTGATTTATAAATACTTTTTATATATTTTATTTTAGAGTTTTATCATTTTTTTAGTTATTTGAATAAATTGGGCTTGTTATAAAAAAATGCTTTAATTTCATATTTTCGTTTATTCAGACCTTTAACTACTCTTTTAGCTATAACTTTTTCTACAGATATCGTTTTTGACTAATTCCAGTTGCATTTAATTTTTCATTCAAAATGCATATATGGATTGGTGAATTTGGAGTTGTTTTTGATTTTTTATGATATTTCGAAGTTGAGGCAAATTTGCTAAACATTGTTGTGAGATTGCATTTAGACCTTATTATTTAATAATTGTATTTGGACTTTTAGATATTATTGAGGCTCAAATTTTGGCCACTTAATTCACCTTAATCAGAACTTATAAATAGACTAATAAGGTTCTAATTCAGGGTGTGATCATACACTTTGAACTTTTGAGATTTGGCTGAAATAAGAATCCTTATTTTTACTTTCTCTCGGATTCTCTTGTTCTCTTCTCATTCTCGTGTGGGTTAAGTATTTCGATGAAAGGCTAAACCTTCCGTTCAATCTGCAGAATCCAAATACTGTAATTCTGATTTGTATTTTGGGTCAAATTACTTTGAGTTTGTTCTCTTTTTCTCTAACCTCAGATTCGTATATTACGATCGTAATTAACTTTTCTGTTGTTAGAATTCAAATTAAGATTCGATTAATATTCTAATTTGATAATGAATTCGGGTTAGGTTAAATGATAATTTGATTTAATTCGTGATATATTTCAATTAGTTTATTCGATTGAATTAATAATTGAATTGTGTAAAAGTTAAAACTCATTAAAATCTTTAGATAGTATGATAATCAGAATTACACATATTTAGTATTTTATAGATTGATATCTCTTCATTTATTTTTGCTAAATTTTTTTGTTCGTAATTTAATTTAATTAATTTACAAATTTCAAACCCCCAAAAGTTTATTTGCATTCCTTAAAAAAAAAAATTAAAATTAAATTTAACTGAAAATGTGTCTATGTGAATCAACCTAAGTTTAGCTCTATACTACAAAATCTGAAAAAAAAACTTCGTTGTTTTGATAATGACTCGGTATCGTCTATCAATAGTCTTAGTGGAGTGACTATTAGAGAGTGGCATAGTGACCATAATGGTAATACAAGTAAGAGTCTAAATAATACATATTTTTGTAAATAGTTTGTTAATAAAAAAATAGAATCTATACTTTAGTGTTTTCTCCTTTTCTGAATTATATTTGAATAAACATGGAAAAAAGTAGTTAAATTTTTTTTATAATACGGTGTCTAAGTACTTGTAGCACTAATCCACTTTTTGTAATATATGATGTATTTTGATTCAGTGAGTGTTTAATTTAATGTTTGCAAGATTATTTTATAATGGGATTGTTTGGAAAAAAGGCATCTCAATGTGTATACATAATACATACACACACGAGTACACATACTCATTTTTTTTAATTTTACTAATATAAATGAAATTCAACTATTATCAATGAAATATAAAATATTTACTTTATAAATTTTATTTTAAATTTTTTAAAGACCTATAAGAATAATTGCACATCTAAATAAAAAATAATAAGTAGGTAATACATTGATTATTATTTTATTAACTTTATTATATAAATAATAAAATAATAATGATAATATATACTCTAATTTATTAAATTATATGGTACTTCTTATTATAGTTTTCTAAACTATTTAAATTTTAAAATAATATTATTTAAAATGTTGGAAATACAACACAATAAAAAACTTATATATAAAATAAAAAAAATAAGTGAAGTATAAAATAAAATAATATTTAGAAAAATCAAGAGAAAATATGGTATAAAAAATTTATTAAAGTGACTTTAATATGATATAGATTATATTTAATTGGAGCACCAATCCTAAATGAATACAAATATATAGATTATCGTTTAACAGAAACTAAAATATGAAAACTTTGATGAATGAAACGTATAAAATTTATTATTTAGACATATAACAAATTCATTCCCGGAATAAAAAATTATTAATAATATACTTTTTCAAACATATATTACAACACACCTTTATGATTAGCCAAAGTACATTTTAAGAATTACTTTTAACATTCCTGCTGCGTGCACTGTATCTGTGGAATTGAACGACTGATCAAACACAAAGTACATAAATTAAACAGAATTGCTCACATTGTATTTGCCAAATAAATATGTCCATACATACCATGAGCATACCTCAGCCATTGGGTGCTAAATATGATAGCAGTGAAAGTTACTGCTTTAATTGAGTCATATTAATATAATAAGTTATTAACTTGTAGAAACGGTACTTGTTTGGGGCTCTTTATTTTTTACTTATACTAGATAGTAATATATCGGTTAAATCCGCAGTGAACTAAACAATTCCCTGTTGTTCATGAGCTTCAGATTGGTGTACTTGGTTTATCCATTCAGGGATTATACAAGGAATCCAAGCACCAGCAGTAGTAGTCAGATCTTGAGATTTCAAGCATCTGTTCAGGACTCATCCTCTCAAGCTCACTTTGCCTCCACGAAGCAAAATTATTCCTGTTCTGAGGGTCAGATACTAGAGGGTAATCCTCTATTTTATGTACTTGGGATCTCATTCTCATGTATAGCCTCATCGTTGCAACACAATCATCATAAGGATCCTGAATCCCAGTTTGAATGTCATACCTGCATGTTTTGTGTGCACCGAAACGGAAGCCTAGTTATTTTCGGAACCATGTTTGTATTGGCATCTAACATCTTTTTCTTATTTATTTTCAGAAAAAGAAAAAATTGTGAAAGATACTTGCCCAAGATATGTTTGTGTTAAGTACTTGAGTGAGTTGCTCAGCTTACTCGTTTTCATCAGTGGAGGGTATTTTGCAGTGTCCCTGTTGACATAAATATTTGTTCAAAACGAATAAAGTCAATATTTGAATGAGTGTTGAAGTAAACCTCTGCTTGATCTACGGTATTCATATTTGTTATTGATCAGAATAAGGAGCTAAATCTAAGTGAATCCACATAGGGTCAAACAAAAAGTGATGTATTAATTATTACCATACATAAGTTACAAGAATTTTATGAACAGATTATTTGATTTGACATGTGTGTGAGTGTATGTATATCGATTCTGCTTGTTCTGCCTAAATGTTAAATTGAATTAGTTACCTTATTTTCTCTGCTCGATATTCAATTTGCAGACATTCAAGGTCATGATCCAAGCCATGACCAACTAGAATCCTGGCTCTTCCACCTCTTGCTCGAATTGTCCACATGGGTTCTCCATTACAAAGAAAGTCTTGAATCTTCCTCTGAACTTGTCTCATTGGCATTGCATCCCTCAGGTATTCTTGTCTAATGCCTGTTGTCTCATACCTGTTAATGATTCAACAACCCGAATCAGCTGGCCAACTAAACTGTTAAACTATTTTGAGGCATAATAGAAATTTAGGCAACCTATAGTTTGTGACTGGAATTGGTGGCTTCACATAAGAATGGAAGACGATGTTCTCATGCTCATCAATTAAGCATACTCTTGCACAGAGATCCAGTGAGCCATCACTGCCACCTCCAACCATTTTACATGCTAGTGCAACTACTTGTGGTCCTCTTGTTCCACCTCCAATAGCCAAATTATCACGAAGTCCCAAGTTTGAAAAGCGACCAATTATTCCCTATAACAAAGTGCACATAAAGTTAAAAATTCGCAATGAATGATTCTAAAATCTTTTCAATTTTTAAATAAGAATGTTGAATATATTTCATGTTTGTATTTTATACTACTTTTATTGTGTAATTAATGAGAAAATAATAGGTTGGTACGGCATTTGTTCCGGAGAGTTGGCATTTTTCTTGGTGGATCCTGCGAGTGTTAGGGCTGTCCAGGACTTTCAAGCAAAACTTGCACCCTCTGTATGCAAATATATCTCTGCATTCTTGTTTGGGCAATGGACCTGAAAAAGCAAATTAAGCTCAAATTCTGCATGGAAGATAAACACTCCATGCATTTGATTTGCCTAGCATTTAATCTTGAAAGCTTTTTACCTATAAGATGTTCCCTTAGAGACTCAAACGACCTACAGTGTTTCCTGCAAATGCCACAGGTTGGTTCATGAACCGAATGGTATGAGATCCTCATGTGCTCCACAAGGTGCTCTAGTTTGTTGAACTGTCTGAAGCATGCTGTACATTTATTCCTGTTGTAATACAAACCATATGTGTATGTTACTTATAAATCCATGCACTGTTGAGGTCAATTTTCTGTACTCCTATAATACCTATCTTATAATTTCTTTTCCTTATTTTGTAACTTCCGCTTTTTCTTAATGTTAAAAAGAGTTTAAGTTAGGAAAAAAATAACTATATATACCAAATGGATGTTATTATTTTAACAAAAAAGAGTGTACTACACAGGAGGACTGAAATAGTTTTCACACCATTGATATTTTATAGAGAGAGTTTTCATTCGACTGAATAAAGATGCACGTGCACGGCAGGAAATATATCTGTATGCATGTGTGTTTCTGAGCTTGTGCATGAGAGTGAGAATCAAAACCTGTGAGTCTCTGGGCACTCAAATCTGCAATCCATAATTCTTGACACTGATATTTATGGTTTTGGCAAAGACTAGAAAAGAGAAAAGGCTTGGACTTGAGGTCAAAGGTAGCAGGAGGATGGTATTTATAGAGTGAGGGTAGAGGCTTTAGTTTTCTCTTGGAGCAAAATAAAGTAGGGGGAGGGGATACCCACAAACTATGAAACTACAATAAAAGTACATGGTAGAGGTGAGAATTGCCCCAACTTGCATAAATGGACAATTCGTAAAGGGATTATTCAGTATATTAATTTCTGATTCCCTCTACTTTTTTTATTTTTCTAATCTTTGGCCATGCTTCCTCTCCTCTACCATGTAGTCATGTTGTGTAGTTTGTAGGATACCATTCTTGCACTCGTAATGATCTATATTCCAGATTCGTGGGCCCATTCTCGCTGTTTCCTTCATTGACTTTGGCTGTCACGTTGCTTTATATGCATTTTATTGTTGCAAACGAACCAGCCAACCAATGTGAACTCTCAAGTTCTTATCGATTAATCACGCGTTCACGCTCATTGTAAGAACTAGATAAGACCCACAGGTGTCGTATATGTAAAAAGTCTTCTTAGAAATAATATTTTAATGAGACGTAAAACAGAAAATATAAAATTGATATATTTACTAACGTATTTTTAGTACGGTTGCACGAAATAGTATTATGCGTTTATACCTAGTCAAGATTTTATTTTAATTTGCATTAATATTATGTTTGGGCTTAATTTGTCATTTGGTTAACAAGTTTACAGGGTTGTACGATTATAATCACCTAAATTTTAACCATACAATTTTAATTTTCTTTTCTTAATTGAGAAAATTTCAGACTTCTAACAAAGCTGTCATCCAAATTCATGAGTGTGTATTTAGGAAAGAGTTTTTAAAATATATATATATATATATTTTAAATTTTAAATTAAAAAATTTATATCATTTATAGCGATGACAAAGATATTAAATTTATATTTTTAATTTTAAAATATCAATTTTACTTTTACTTTTCTCACCCCCTCCGCTCCAAAACTCCCTTAAAGAACCACTCCCGCTTCCAAACAGCCTTTGGACGGCGCTTTGCCACGTGAGGCTCATTTGGTGTCCCCAATGCTCTCTGCACGTCACCGTCACACAACAAAGTGCCACTTTAATTGCCAATCTCTTCTGATAGTCGTCCACCACCACCACCGTCACGACCCTCCCACGCTTCCTCACTCCTCAGATACTCGATCGCTATTTGAGTTGTACACGAATCCATCTCGACAAAACATGTAAGCAGTGGAAGAAACAACTTGTTGTTCATCTTCATTCTCGCGACCTGCGCTGAAGTAGCGTATAACACATCCTACGCTTCGTTCATAGGGATGACTCGTAGAGAAACTCTCAGAAGGGAAGACAATTAGACTAGTACGGGTATGAAGGGGTAGTAACTTTATGAGGGAAGTAGAGAAGGAGGAAGAGGTTGAAGTCGGTTGGTTAAGGAACCGAAGGGACCACCGATGACTTAACAAAAATATGAAAATTTGTTCAATCAGAAAAAAAAAAAAAACACCTAAAATCGATCAATTTAAAATTCGGAACTAATATCGAATAACGTTATAAGTACAGAAAAGAAAATTATGTTAATTATAAACTTAAGATAAATGTTACGCTGAGTTAACATAGTGGATGATTTATAAATAAATAATAAAATGACCTGTTATGATAAATTTTAAAATTTACAGTGTTTATAATTTAATTTTTAATAAATTTTACAGGTTAAAAATATTTAAATATTAAATATTTAAAATATATCTTTTATTATTTTCTTTTAATATCAGCTATATTATTTAGAAAAAGAGTTTTTGAAAGTTTTTTTTTTCATTAACATAAAATTTAAATTTATTATCTCAAATTCACTTTTTTTTTTCAATTTTGTTTCTAAAGTTAGTTCAAACATTTTTATTATGTTTTTAACTCGTAGTTTGATATATTTTATAGATGTGATTGAAATTTAAGTGATAAAAGTTTGAGAAAGATGTTCAAGATAAAATATCAAATAAAATGAGGTAATTTTATTTTAGAATAGGGTTGTAGAAGTTTTGTTGAATTTTTCCTTGTTCTACTTCAAGTCCCTCTTGTTTTCCCCTTTCAAATAGCATGCAAACATGTTTCACAAATCTAAAACTTAAATAACCATGCTTTTTTTTTTGCATACCATACTTTGAATTATGATCTTTGTAAATGGAACAAATTAAATACGTAAATATCATATAGTCATCCTAATTGTAACACTCTCATTTTTATTTCCTTATTTTTGAAAAAATAGGAATTTTGTTGCAGAGTTTCTCATTCAAGAAAGATATGTCTTACCTAAGCGAGACAAAGTCGTTTTGAACTAAGCTTTCTAAAGCGTTCTCGCTCAAGTAAAAGAGGATGATATCACCCTAATTGTCCTCTTGCCCAGCCAAAAAATTGCAGAAAAATTTAGGAACTCTTTGTACCCATTCTTGCTCAAGCGAGAATACCTCTTTTCTAGGTGAGAATATCAGAAAAAAGGCTAGAAAAATCATTATCTGATTTTCTCGCTTAAGTGAGAAGGAGTTAACTCAGGCGAGAATGAGCTCGCTCAGGCGAGAGTCCGCTCGTTCAAGGAAGAACACGTGAGTTTGAAGGGTATTTAAGGAAGTTCGCATTGCGAAATTTCATTTCTCACTAAATCACCTTCCTTTTTTATTCTCTTTGTTCTCTTCCTCTCCCTTCTCAGAGAAAGCCTCCTCTAACCCTAAATCTCTGTCAAATCTAAGCTCAAACGTTTATTTTACTCAAATCTAAGTAAGTTTTTGGAGCTTAGCTCTTGAATCTCGTTCTTATTTCTCTATTCTCTCTTTTTATAATAGTACTCTACTCAAAGATTTTAGGAAGAACTCTGTTCTTTGGGTAGTGTCTTTGGTCAAAACATGGAGCTTTTCTCTAGCTCATAAAGAACTTAGTCTTAGAAACGTAATTTAGGTAAGGGGAGTTAATCCTAAACCCTAGGTTCTATTTGTATGTTTAGCTTGAAAAACTTAAAATATCCTATTTTGAATGGTATGTCTGAAATATTTTCTTGAGAGTATAATGTTAAAATGAATTTTTAGCATGAAAAATCCATGATTATTTTCAAAACCATCTAAATACAATATGTAGTAAAAGCTCTGAATGAAGTCATTTTTAAGGAGTATTTTGATTTTATTATTGAACATTATTCATGTATAGTTAAGATTGCTATTTGATATTTTGAATAATAGATGTACTGCAAATATTTATATTGATGCCAAACTTTAGAATAGAAGACTTTATTAAGACTAAGAAAGTGTGATCTCTGGCAAGATATTTTTTGAACTGTATGACTGGTCTAAGTTTGAAGGTGTCTAACTTTCAGCACATTGTATTAGATTTTTGTTTGATGTATTTCTTGTTTTATAATTATAGGTACAATTAATGTGTAAGCTTGATGCAAATGGTTTAGCTGTCTTTGAATAATGAAAAATATTTTATTGCACATATATAAGTTAGATTAAGTCTGAATACGTGTACTTTTAGACATGTTTTGTTTAATAGAATGATGAAAAAGAGATAGAGAAAAATATGTTATAAGTGAAAAGTAAAGAAAAGAATTGGTTTGAATAATTGAGAATTGTTGAGAAAAATGCAAAAAAAAAGGAAAAATGATGACTAATACATTTGTGGTAAATACATTGATTAATGTGATTTTAATATATGTCTTATAATTTCTTAATGTAAATTTATAATTTTGAATAAAACTTAAATGAAATCATAAGGGATTTGAATAGTTTTGAAAAATTTTAAAGGTATATAAATTTAAACCAATAAAAGTTAATAAATTTTAAAACTTTATTTGTATAAAAATCTCATTCATAATAGGAATAAAAAATGTGTTTTCATTACTTAAATTTTTAGGTAAAATGAAAGCTGAAAATTCATTTTATGTACATATATCTGTTAAGTTCACAGTACAAACAAAACTAATTTTCAGTCAATTAAATTTCTAACTAAAGCTGCATATAAATTAAAATCTCTAGTAATTAACTACTAAGTATTACACATACACTTTAAATCCTCATTTACAATAGTGTTTATCAATAAAAATATGAATTCTAAATAGAACTAAATTAATATCATTACATTCCTTAAAAAAAATTAATCTTAACACAACATTTCTCTTTCTTATAATCTATCGCAGGTATGATCCTATGACAAATCCATCTTCTTTATCTCTTCATTACATGAAAATGTTTGTAGGGGTAAGCATCCTTTGCCCCATTAAACTTTTATTTAATTAAAACAATTGAAATGACAAAATTATTATCTCATATAATATGCATCAATTTAGAAATAATTTATAAAAAATCATTCAAAGCAAACAGAGATTGTCCATACACATCATTTCACAATCAATCATATATATATATATATATATATATATATATATATATATATATATATAATCCCTTAATCCCTTGAACTCATGCCACTTTATTTGTAACATCCTCGTTTTTATATTTATTATTATAGCATTGAAGGTTGGTTGTATTTGTGAAGTTATTTGAATTTTAGAGAGTTTAAATAATGTAAGTTGTAGGATATCTCGCTGTGGCGAGAAAGAGAGTCCAAAAATCAGGCATTCTGATACTCTCTCGCTGTAGCGAGGATCTTCTCGTTGTAGCGAGGATGCTCTCGTTGTAGCTAAAATGACAGACAACAAAGTGCAATTTTGTCTGATTTTTTCGCTGTAGCGAGAATGTTGCCAGTCAAGGGGTATTTAAGGGTTCACAAGTTAGAAAACTTGGATTACAATTTGAGTTTCTAGCTCTTCCTCCGTTCTCTCGACCTCTAACCCTCCTTTCTCGAAAAAGCTCTCTAAAACCTCAAGTTTCTTTTGAATCCAAGTTTGGGAACTACATCAATCAACTCCAAGTAAGTTCTTGGAGCTTTGTTTTTTCTTTTTGGTTGTTTTCTAAGTTTCTCTCTTCTCAAAATGTTATTTTTTGTGATATCTAGGAAGATCTTGGTCCTTTTACCAAAACACTTCACAAACCTTCTTTCAAAACTTTATTTCAAGGTAAGGAGGGCTCTATTTTGTGATTTTAAGCATAATAACTATTTTGTAATCATGAGAGTACTTTATGTATGAGTTCTTATATGATTTTATGATTGATTGACATTGAATTGTTATGAAAATATGTTTGGCTGATTTTGGGTGTTAATGATATTTTCGAGTAGTCTATTGTTTAGAACTTAGTTTGGAAGTCCTTTACTAAGCACAATCTCTTACTTGAATAATGAGTTTAGTATGAAGGATAGTATGAGATAAGTGTAAAAAGCTGAATGGATCTAGTGTGAATAGTTACAGAGATACACTGGGGGTATAGAGTCCGGATAGGAAATATGGGAGAAATGTAGGGTGGTGAGTGATATTCGCGCATGTGTACACATTCTTTCTGAGAGCGAATGTGTCACATGGCCTCACACTCGTTTCCTAACTAGACTCTTGAATATATCTTTGCTAAGGGGCCCGTTATTGTATATGTTGTATCCGTATGTATGGGCTAACCAATGACTATTTACCTAGTTGTGAAGACCTCAAGAACTGCCGAAGGCATCGTATATCTGTGATCGTAGTGCACTGCACTGGGAGTTCGTATTCGAAAGAGAGGAATGTATTGAGTTGTGATGGAATATATGTATATGTGATATATATTGCTTTGAGATTCATGATTTTATGATTCCTTGCCTTGTGTTATATGATTGTGATCGTGCTATGATGTTGGTCTTTAAATTAATATTGTGTTTAAAGGATAAAATAGAAGCTTATCCTTACTAATATTTTTAGGAGATCAGGATGACAGAGCCTCAGGAAAGAGTTAGACTAGTAGATAGTTCAGTACATTATAGGTTAAATTATGTATTTAATGAATATCAACGACTGTGTTACTTTAAATTTGCTATTTTGGTAGAAACTGAACCTAGAACTCTTGTTACATTAGAAATAGATTTCTTTTGTAGTATTCGGTTTGATTTTCCTAGGAATAGAATACATCATACCCTGTGTATTTATATATATAATGGTACTGTTAGGATCACGGCAGCCATCACATAGCTGTTTACTTCACGATCATGACCATCTCGGAAGATCATCCATATGGACTTTTGAAAGAGTTACTGGTACTGAAGTTACAACTGATCCAAACGATCTTTATCTTGGACAGATGATGATCTCAATTCTGAAGACCTGGCAAAGATAGAAAGCTGTCATGGAATCGACCAGTACTGAGT